ACCGCCCATGACCTCTCCTCGGACCTTTTCAAGGTTTGGCACAAAGCCACTTTTTCCGTGCTTGTGGGTTCCTCCTTGCAGCGACAGAGAAGAGCAGCAAGCACTATTCAGTAATCTTTCCAACTCAGAACTGGAAACTCTACTCCTAAAAATAGGTGTGCCGATAGTTTACGCGCCGCCAAGACTGTACACCAGTTTCAAACAAGCCGCTGCAATGGTGAAAACCGTCAGTCCCGAGGATGTTATGGCTATCATCTCGAAGCACAGGGATAGTGCAGATGTGCTCCCCTGCTCTATTAACGGTACCACCTTCAAACAAGCGAGCGAATTGAAGCTATTAATCGAGTATTGCATGGGAGATGACAACTTCCTCCAACGGTTAGATGGGTTGCCCCTTCTGCTAACTGAAGACGAAGTACTTAGAGAATTTGATTCAAGAAATCCAGTTTTTCTCACACCATTTTCCAGTCTTCTGTCTTCTCAGAAAGACCTTTTTGTTCATAAGGAATTCATCCCGCTGTTTTCAAACTTCACCAGAAATGACATTTGGAAGTCCAAAGTGTTTAAACGTTTCGACACGATATCTATTGCTCCATATTTGATTCAACTTCTTCCATCAAAATGGTTCGCAGGCGACAAACATGTCTCATGGGAACCAAGTGACAGTTGCACACCATCAGTTGAGTGGTTGACGACGCTGTGGGAATTAATCATATTGACATACAAAGAAAGGCAGTCAAGCTTCGAAGACAAAGAGGACCCATCCGAGACTCTTCGACCACTTGAAGACTGGCCGATTATTCCTACTTCTAATGGCACCTTAGCTCCTCTGTCCCTCAGCAAAACTGTGTTGGATTTGAGTACACGCATTTACAATGAAGACAGGTTGGTGAGAATCCTGTGTAAGGTTGGAAGTGCTCAGCTGGATTTTTCAGTTCTTCCAAAAGTCGACAAGGATGAGGCTTCACTCATTGCATCCCCACATCTGGCGAAGCCATACTCGAGACAAGATGTTATCAGCGTTATACACTACCTATCTAAAGGTGATGACTTCAAATGCGAACTCGGTCAAGGCGAAATCGTTACACTTCTACGATTTTTGCAGGAAGACGTCACTACCGTCTATAGTAACCAATCACTACTGAGAAAACTGCCGCTATACAAAACCCTGAATGGGAAATTTGTTAGTCTCGATTCATATGCCTTCTCGTACGTTGTCGATCTGCCTCAGTGTGTATCCCTGGCTGACATCGAAGCGCGCATTGAAAAAGAAAGTTGTGTACTATTGGAGGTGATTCAAGAAATAGAACCTTTATACAAGGCTCTCGATATCAGCCAGCTGTCACAAGTAGACGTATTCGTCAAATACATATTGCCAAACCTTGACGCGATGTCGGAGAGAGGCCTTCAGGAAGTGCTGCTCTACATCAAAGATACTCTCCTATTCACCGTAAAGAGTTCCAGTGAGAAGAGCATTTTACTCGATGCCCTGTGTGAGGCACGTATTTTTCCAGACAAAAGCGACACACTAGTCCCTGTCAGCCATTTTTATGATCCTGAGAATCCAGTCTTTACAGAATTGCTCTCTCCTGGTGATTTTCCACCAGGAGATTACAGCCTTCCAAGCTGGCTCCCATTCCTTCGTCAAGTTGGACTTAAGAACCGTGTTTCCCAGCAACAGTTTATCCAGTTTGCAGAATCCTTAGCGTCTGATGCAGTGACCAGGTCCCAAGATACTCAGTTGAACGATGTGTCTAAAACATTGGTTACTTGTCTGTTTCAACAGGATGACCTGCATGATCCAAGCTTTCTACATGTCGTATCCACTATAAAGTTTGTCGCAACAGAAACTGCATCTAAACAACTGACAAACCTGCAGCCTCAATTTGCGTGTAAAAGTAAGGAAGACATTCCTCCTTTTACTGAGTTCCACGGAGCTTTACCATGCGAACAACAGAAAATTTCGTGGACCTCCACTCCTCTCCTTCCAGCCTGGGCCACTCCAAATACCGCCGAGAAACAAGTTTTGGAAGACCTCGGAGTTGCACTTCTCCCTCCACTGGACAAAGTTATCGATCACATCGCTCTTCTAACCAAAGCACACAGTGGAAATGTCCATAAAGACACCCCAAAAGACCAAAGGGAGCTTCTTCACGATGTCATATACGAGGCGTTCACTTTCTTGAAAGGTGAATGTAATTGCTCCGGTAACACTTTGTCAGACAAGTGCACGAAGTCTTGTCTAGCTATTGGAAACATTCTCAGGAAAACACCTTGCATTCCCGTTGAAGAAGGCCGCGTTTTTGTGGAAGGCAATCAATTAGCGTTTGAGACGACAACAGAGATGCCACCTTACTTTTATAAAGTACCGCGAGAGTACGGCCATTTTGAGCATGTACTTAAGAGGCTTGGAGCACATGAGAAACCAACACCATCACAGTTTGCTGATGTCCTTGGGAGACTAAAGGAGGTGTGTGAGGATAAGCATATGGAGCCCAACGAGAAAAAGGTGGCTAGAGAAGCTACACATGGATTTTTCACCACCCTGTCACTGTTAGTGAAGGAAAAAAGCGAAGAGGCTGCGACAAGATGTCTTTTTTCACTGAACCAACTCTTTTTACCTAGCAAAGAAGGTTTTCTCAAGCCATCAAATGAGCTGATCTTTCACGATTGTCCCAGCTTTGAACGTCGTGCACGAGACTTTGCCGGTGACTTTGTGGACATCAGTCGGGAAGGAGAACTTACCGCAGACCGCCTCTCTTACCTTCTCAGTCTTCTACCTTTGCGTCTGAGGGCAAAGACGATTCAGAATTTACTGCGGGAAGAGATACATCCTACCTGTAGAGATAAGCGATGCATAGCAGACAGCACTATTGGATCAGATCCCTGCCCATTTGTAAACAGATACCGGAACGTTTTGCTCTCTCCGAAGTTGGTGAATGGAATTCTACGTGTAATCCGTCATCAAAGACAGACACCGAATTTGCCTCAAGATGTCAAAGACCAGGTACAAGTCCTTTGTAGCTCGCTCAGTGTAACTTGCATGGCATCACTTGACACTCATTTGATTCACTTGGAATCTGGTAAACCATTACAACATAGCCAAGAAACCCAAGACTGTTTCTTAGAAGAACAGAATGGTGAGTGGGAATTGTTCATCAGGCATGGCACAGACGAAAATCCCCTCCACATCCAACTTTGCTTTCAGGTAAATCGTTTGATTCATAATCAAATAGAGAAGGAGATCTACCTTCAAGCAATGCTTGCATGTAGGGTACCAGAGGAGATCCTACCCTCACTCGACAGATGCGGTGTAGCGCAAGATCTCATGGGAAGCGAGGCGCGCACTACGGAGCCTGTTCTTGGATCTGAGATTCCGGTGATGTATCACTACCTGCTCAGGCAAGACATCGAATACTTTTTTCGGCAAGGTGAAATAGTTGGCTACGAGAAGGAACGCAGAACCGAAGATGGTCAAATTGATGACTCTGAGCCTCTCTACGTGTACGCGAAGGTGGTGAGGAAAGTGCCAAATCGTAAGAGATCCATGGAAACCAGCAGATTTGACTTCAAAGCCAAATATCGCGTTGATATTGGAGAGCCACGCCTCGTGGAAGTCAGCGTACTTGATCTTTACAAGTTTGATCGATCAAACGCTGAAATTCCAAATGCAGAACCCGTACTATCGGATTCTCGTGAAGTATCGATTTTTACTGGAGACCCCAAGGAATCAGAGCGCCGGGCAGCGAGTCGAAATGAACGTCTTGAAAAGGCGAAACAAGAAATCAAGGATACCCTGTGGGAGGCTTGGAAGTTACCTGAAAATGAAAGAAGGAAAGTCATTAAGCGTTTGTTCCTCCGATGGCACCCGGACAAAAATATAGGCTCTGACATTGCTAATGATGTGATGCAATTCCTGCTTAACGAAATAGAGAGAATGGAAAAGCTATTTCCTTCTAATTGGAGAGACAATCTGCGAGATGCTAAGGAAAAGGGAACACAAGATGGAGCCAGCAGCTTTCATGATTTCTTCAACCAGTGGAACCAGCGAGCTCGGCAAGAAAGGCAAACTTATGACACGTTTAAACGACAAAATCATCAAGGAACTCCTTATTCGAAGAGGTCCACCAACCCTCAGAAGAACGAGGCCAAGCGGTGGATGAAACAAGCCAAAGAAGACCTAAACGCAGCAAAACATCTAGAAAGTGAACAACCAAAATTCCCTGCGTTGGTTTGCTTTTTATGTCAACAAGCAACAGAGAAAGTTTTCAAAGGCGCCTTGTATGCAGCTTGCGGCATATCTGAGAAACAACTAGAAACACACGATGTACTGAATCTTGCCTATGAGATTACTGAGTTAGATGGATCACCCGCTGATATTGCCCTCCTGGCTGCCAAGCTCAAGAATTATTACGAGCAAACTAGATATCCTCATTTTCATCGTGGCGACACGATCCCTGCGGAAGCTTTTACGAGCGATCAAGCACAAGACGCATTAGAAATTTGTGAATTACTGGTGCAGAAAATAACAGACTTTGTTAACGATAGTTTTACAAGGGTATGACAGTTTGAACCACAAAAACTTTCAGTCGAGACCAAATATTCAGAAGAAAGGGAGGACTGTAAGATATAGCATGACAAAGAGTAGTTATGGATGGTGTAGTCGAGCCAAAGCATTTACTGTACAAAGTAGTAAGATGCATCAAAACGAATTGGTTTCGCGTCAAGAAAAGGTTAAGGGTCTAAGGTGCTTCAACACCTACGTAGCGAAAGTTTGGGACCTAACTAAAAGACATTGGCCATCTAGTTCTCACTGATGTGAGACTGTGGAATAAAAGAGAAATTAATAGTAATGGATAGTGATGACCTGACAATTTTACATTTTTATCACCACTACTTCATAACTTTAAATTTTTGTATTAAGTTTATTTACAATTTAACACCCAAATTTCAGCATTTATAACATAAGAAAATAATGCAAAGGAAGGTTGGACATATAGTATGTCTAACAAATGTTTTAATGATCTAATAGTTTTGTAATGAGAGTAATTGCAGGTACCACCGCATAAGTACAATTAGCACTTAATCAACGAAAGAGAAATGGGTGAAAAGCCATCAGCGATCCACAGTTGAAAAGAAAGAGAGTTCAGAAAAGAAACTGGGGGTTCTTGGTACATTGTTACCACCAAATAATAATTGTGTACCAAAGGAGCCTTGCTAAGACTGTGGCAACTGACTGGCAAACAATGAACAGTTCCCTTTGGTTTCCTGTAATTTATAAATCAAGAAGAACATAGAAAAACTTTCCCATCATTTAAAATTTATTTCAAATCCTCACTTCATGGGGGTGACCTCTAACAAGCAATTAGCCTATGGCATAAATTAAGTGTAATTGTAAGAATAACTTAACCATAATAAATGTAACATTAGGCAGTTGATAGCTATCTTTTAACAATGAACAGAGAGATGAGGGATGGGTTGCTTCTCAAAAATTATGAGGTAAATATCAGACTTTGCAGAAACAGGTTAGAAGTAATTTTACAAAAACAAACATTTTGTAAGAAATTAATTGTTGTATTGTGCGTAATGCTGAAAACTATTTTAGGAGCAAATTATTTTTCTAGGAATTCCAATAAAAAATTTGATGTTATTTGTTAGACCTCTTTTCTATTTTATTTCTTTGTGAGGATCTGATTAGTGGAATACTAAAACTAACTACACCTAATTCCTTCTATGAAGAGGCAAATTTTGTAACAGAAGTCTATTTTGGAACAGGGTCACCAATCAAACAGGTATTCCATCTATCCCACTGGGCTGGAAAAAAAGCCAGAATCTCTAAATAGCAAAGACAATAAAACCTTACCAGACCTATGCTTGTAAATATATCATCCATGTATGTTGCAAGTGCATTTCTGCAAGATCTTGAGAAAAAGTTTCTTATTGCAATACCAAGTTGTTGGAAATAACATCCAAATATTAAACTTATGGTGGACAGTGGTGAGAAGAATATTTTGGAACTCATAACCACTAATACATCAATTCTTAGCCTTATCAATAAAAACAGCTATTACACATAAAATATCATTTACTTAATTCCACTAGATCATAAAAAAGTGATTTCTGCCAGTTCTCTAGGCCAGGATTGGCAAAAATCCTGGTTATACAAGTAGATTTGTACCTCAAATAGCAAAGTGAAAAAACAGTTTGAAAGATGAGTGATTCCAAGCATTTCTGGCAGCTGATAAGCTGCTTGACTGCTTCAATGAAACTACTTAAGTGCAACTCTCCTATATAGCTTTAATTTTACAAGTTCAGTATTACATGCATGTTGCAAAAGTTATGATGCAGCCCAACAATGGGGCACAAGATGAGTACAAAAGGCTTTGTAATACCAAGCATCATGTTACAAGGTATTCCCCAAACTGTAACACTAGATCAATGTGTCTCTGACAATGATTGACACTTCAGATCTTTGTCAATTTATTTACAATACCTATCTGCTTTCATCTTTTCTCTCCTGTTTAACATTTCTTCATGAAGTTTACCATCAGTTTTTGCTTTTTTCAATCTGCTATTCTCCTCCTCACTCAGACGCAAATTCCTGTCTTGAAAACTTTGGAATTTCTTGACAAAACTAATTTCATGATTCCGCAGATCTTTTTCTCCCTCAGGTAAACTGCTGGTGCACACTTTACTATGGAAAAAGAAGAAGCAATACCAAATTATTTTAACATCAATCCACAGTCACTCATTTCAAGTTACTGACAATCTTTTTTTCAGCCTCTCATCAAACTTTGATATGGCATACAGTAGCAATGTAAGGCAAAACTTACTTAGGCATGTAGTGTCTAAACATGATGAGGTCAAACTGAGGGGTAAGCATTACATCAAACCTCAGAAGCACTTGCCCCTTTGCCCCGATTGTGACGAATTATGGATATTAACTAAACTGACTAAACTGTATTTATTTTTTTATTTTTCATATCTTAACCCTTTTACTCCTACAAGTGATTAGTATGTAACTTCTTCCAATGATATCTATACATTATCCAGCAACAGGTAATGAGAATACTCAATCTTATCAGCTAGAAGTTGTTAATCTTCATCTAAAATTCTTGTAACTAATTTACAAGGAAATATGTTGTAGCTAGAGGGGAGAATCAAGAATCAGCTCTTGGGAGTTAAAGGGTTATGAAATAGTAACACTTACACTTTTGGAACACTGGTCCGAACATGGAATGTCTCCTTCTCTCCAACAGTTTTTTTGCTTGCAGAGAGTTGCCCATCTTCATTGACAGACAAATAGCAGCCATTATATGTTTCAAAAGCAACTTTGTCTTCTTCAAAGACACACTCAAACTGTTCCTGAGGACCAATTGCATCTGATCTTCCAGTGACATTTCCCATCATATCAACAGACATATATTTTCCTGTATGACAAAAGATTGTCAGTGATGGTGAAACCTGAGAATATCTCATTCTTAACCTTATCACTTTCTAGATTTAAATACTTCTTCTCTTCCGTCACTTGTCTAGGTATCTTTAAGAGTTTATTTTAATACATATCAGAAGTGACAACATCACAAGACAAAGGATAAGTTTTTTCCTGATCTATCCATTTGAATGGCCATAACCTATTTTACACTTTTAACTAGTGTGGATCATGGGTGATATAACCCTTTAAATACTAAAAAGAAGGCCTGTCTACAAGCAAACAACACTGAATGCTTAATAAAGAAGTACACATAAGCACATAAAAATCAAGTAGGCATGTTTGTAACAATGAATGTTATGAAATGATGAAGAAAGTAATTATTTAATTAACATAAACATTGTTAAATAATTAATTATTGCCATGACAAAGGTATTGAAAATCTATCAAGAGCAAAACGTTGTTGCCAGCTCAGATACTCACCACCTGTAAATTTCAACCAAAATTAAATTTCACATGTGATTTGCTACCGTTACATGCATAAATGTACATGTATAAATATGTTATGTAGTAATATTTTTAACGTGAGACAACAAAAGACAAATAAATAAAAATCTCAGATTGGTTTAAAAAGATAGAAAAATAAACAGTTGAAGGTCTCAAGTAGAGCTTAAAAAAAGTAAAAGTTGGCTGAAGGCATTGTGAGCTGAAATCGTATCATTTAAACAAGAACAAGTACCTATGAGCCAAGTACCCCAAAGCTGTAATGTCGTAACTGGTAAGCTTACAAAATTAAAAAGTTAAATCATTTCTTACCATAACCCGATTTTAAGGCAATATTTTTCTCGGAAAGTGGAACAGCTGTAAACACTTCAACAGGTGCCGGCGAATTTTCACCATCATCTCTCAGTTCACCAACTGTGAACAATCCAGTGTTAAGTGCCTCGATATAGGTTGTCTGGAAAGTTTGCAGTGCAATGTTACCGCTAACTTCACGAAAGTTTTCCACTTTTCTCCAACCTCCATGACGGAGCGCATCAACATCTGTTGGCTCCTCTTCCTCTCTTTCCCTCTTCTTCTTCTTGTGCTTCTTTTTCCGTAAGCTATCGTCTAATCCTTTAAGTTTTAAACGCCCAGATTTCACTTGTTTGTAATTGTCAGCCATTTTGAGAAAACAGTTTGAGCCTGCGAGGTTTTTTATAAGCAATCGTAACGAACAGATTATACTATATGTAAGCAAAATTGTTCGTACCCTACAATATGGCGATCGCAATTTTCCGTAATATCACTGTGGAGCCAGTGCTTTTTCTTTACATGCTCTGCGTTTTTATGTCGTTCCCCCTTGTGCAGCAGCTGGCTTTCCAGAAGATCTGCAATGCAGAATATGACGCCGAATCTTGCAAGAATCTCACCACCTCACAGGAAAATTTTGTACACAAGAAGACCTCCAAATGGATTTTGTATCAGTCTGTGTCTTCGATGCTTCCTTCCATAGCAGCTTCGCTGATCCTCGGTTCCTGGTCAGATAAAGTCGGTCGTAAGACTGTGCTCATTCTACCATCTGTTGGGAGTGTTCTGCTCTACATCAACTATATGCTGAATGTGGGTTTTTTCTCACTGAATGTCGACTACCTACTAATTGGGGTATGCATCTCAGGTTTCTTCGGCGGATTCGCCACAACACTTCTCGGTGTCTTCTCGTACATATCTGATATAACTGATGAATCCCAGCGTACGACGAGAGTAGCCCTGTTGGAATCCATGATATTCTTGGGTGGTACTGTTGGTAACCTTATTGGTGGAGTACTTGTATATCATAGTGGCTACATGGCGGCCTTTGGTCTGTGCTTAGGCCTGAATGTTCTGATAATAGCATACGTCGGTCTTATTCTTCCTGAGTCTTACTTTCCTGATTCAAATCAGCAAGAAAACTGGGCTTTGGTAGCGATACACAATCACATCAAGACATCATTCCATGTCTTAACTAAGGAGCGACCTCAACACCGAAGACTAAATTTGCTGGTTATCATGTTTGGAATATTGGTTTTTGTACTAATAAGTGAGTTGCTGAGGTTTTTTTTTATTTTTCATGATTTGTTAGCTAAATGGGTATGAAACTGGAATGCTTAGAGCACTGAATTATGGTCCTGGGTTTGCGCATGGTCATGAATCCATCATGTTCGTTCCTCTCAGAATGTATTTCATTTCTCCATTTATGGGTAGTCTAGCCTCTCAGTTTAATCATGGTAAGATTTAAAACCTCTGGATAAGCTGTGGTTCCTTTGTGTCCTTAAAAGGGAGAGCTGTTGGCTCAAGTCATGGAAACCAAAAGAACAAGGTCACCGGATAAACAAACAAACAAAAACAAAATTTATATATTTTAGCAATTAAAATAGATATCTAACAATCCCTACCCACAAAATAGCAAAGCTCATTGGGGTGGGAGGGAAACAAACATTAAAATAAATATACATTAACAAGGATGCCATTTATCCTTGAAAACAGACATAAATTTTTACAATAAGCTCCTTTTAATCACCTGGCATCTCTTCCTGTTAACGTTAGCTTACACATTGTATAAAATTTCCCTAACTTCAGCTCCTTCTTTCAGATTTTGGTGGTTTCAATGATATCTCAGTCCTGTACAGCAAGCACAGTCCAAGAAACTTCACTTCTGAACTGGTTGGTTACTTCTTTGCTGAGGTTTTGTTTATCAAAGGTCTTGGTGTTATGTTAGGGATACCACTGATGACAAAGATTCTCAAATGGTCAGATCTTACTATTGCTATTGTTGGTTCTCTAATATCCATTGGACAATATATATTCCTTGGATTTGCCTCCAGCAGATGGATGATGTTTGTTGGTTAGTAAAACTTTTTGAACTTAGTGTGTTATGGTCAAACTCCTTGAAGTAAATGATGTATTAACATTTTAACCCTTGAGAGTGATAAAAATCTAATTACTCCCAATAGTATCATAGGATATGTGATTATTTATCTTATGACTTAATAAAGATTCATTATTATTATTATTATTATTATTATTATTATTATTATTATTATTTATTATTATTCATTATTATTATTATTATTATTATTATTATTATTATTATTATTATTTATTATTATTATTATTATTATTATTATTATTATTATTTATTATTATTATTATTATTATTATTATTATTATTATTATTAGTATCACCCCTGAATCAAACATTAAGGTCATGAGAATAAAAGAAATGCTCACAAAGTAAAGAAGCTCTTTATTATTGGCTTATTATCTTTTAAAGCACCATAAGAAATGTTCAGAGGATATAACAGAGAGTATACAGACTGATGTTAGGGTGTGAAGGTTTATTTGGATTTCCTTGTAGGTGGATTGATTGCCATTGGGGCTGGCGTCACACCACCATGCATGAGGTCAATGATATCAAAACAAGTTGACTCTTCAGAGCAAGGTAAGAACTAGTCCATGGTTATTTGAATCTACTATGCTTATAACATAGGTATTCTCGATAAACTGTTATTTTCTTTAAGTTCATAAACTCAGTTTCACCAGCAGTACTGCTAGCATATTGTAGTACAATGAGTATAAGTTGTAACAAGGACTGGGGAAGAAGGAAAAATGAAATAAAATTCTTTGTTGTGTTGTATGTGGTTGTATTGAAGCTCTGACTACTTTTAGTGGTGCAAGTGTCCTGAAAATTGTCTGTTTGTGATTACCTCCACTCATGATTTCTAAACTTCCTCATTGTTATCAACTACAGTACCTGTGAGGGTTAACATCACCCATAATACCAGACCACATGAAAAACTTTAGGTTGAATACTTGAACACCCAACAAATTTCTTGACTGTCTCTACTTTAATGGTTATTTCATAATTTATCAAACCCCTGATTGTAAATTGTTGTTTTTCTTTGATTTAGGTACAACATTTGCTCTCGTTGCATCTCTTGAAGTGTTGGAGACACTCCTTGCATCATTAATTTTTAACAGTATTTACAGTGCCACAGTGGACTGGCTACCAGGATTTTGTTATTTTTTGATGTCTGGAATGACTGTTATTCCCATACTCTTGCTTATGTAAGTCATTAGGTGTCACTGTATCAAATGTACACAACTTTGCTGTTTTAACAGACATCTGCCATTTTTCCTCTGCAAATGATTGATTTTGAAACATTGAAACTAATTGATGCACTTTGTTTTTGTTCAAGATTGTAGCTTTATTCAGACACTCAGTTGTTTTTCGTGGCTCAAAAATTATTTTTGTAACACCTTTTAACTTCTGAGATGATTTTAAGTTCAATTGTGATTGATTCCTGTCTGTGAAATGTACTCAAAATTATTAATTATTCTAAGTTGGAAAAGATCTTCATTAAGTTGACTAAAATGTTTCTGTGCTACAGTTAAAATAGGTGAACAATTATTATATTTAATTTATGATTTAATTCTCTATTTTGTTATTTTTATTTGACAGATGGTTGTATGTTTTGGAGAGACAAAGCAATCTTTATGCAGTGATGTCTTCTTCTCCAGATGTGGATGGCTCCTTAAATAATGAGGAGGCTTTTGCAAAGTCTTCTGGACAGTTGGAGTATGGATCAAGTAAGGATGTGAAAGATGTACTCTAGAGCCACATTTGAGTGAGATGAACATTGATTTTGTCCTCAAATACAAAACGAAAAAGGCTTTTGAAACAGTTTGTCATGTGACCATTAATTGTTGAACATGTTGCTGGAATTGTGTCAATGCAAGAACTGTAAAGATCATATTTCATTTTTCCAGAATGGTGTTTTACCTACAAATGCTATGGCATGTCAAAATTTTGTAAGACCAGTTGAAATCTTAAGTAGTTAGTAGTTCAATCTAGATGTACTTGCCTTCCAGAAAAATTCGCCTGAATTTCAAAGTGCTACAAAAATGATTCAGACTCATAACTCTAAGGGGTATAATAAAACAGAATAAACAATTAACTACTACTCAGAGAAGTGGAAGTGAATAGTGGTGAACATTACTTAGCTGCTTCGTGGCAAGGTAAATGTCCACCACTTTCACCTACACTGAGGTGAATAATTGTTTTAGTATATACCACACAGAAACCAAAAAATTAGTTTATTCCTGTCAATATACCAATAAATGGAAAATAATGAAATTTTTGAAGAACAATTTTATCTCTTTAGCTGCATGGAGTTGAGTACTGCTGGCTAATCACTTCTGAACAAGCCCATAAGTGCACAAAAAGCATTCTTCACCTGTGTGGTACATACTAGAAATAACAGGCATGTACTTTTTCCTATAATATCCATACATCGTTGAGGTAGAAGTTGTTGTCTTAATCTAACACCTAATTCTCAGAACTCTTTTACAAGTAATCGAGTTGCAGCTAGAAGGGAGAATAAATAATCAGATCATGGGAGTTAAAGAGTTACTGAAGTTGCATTTTACTAATTTTCGGGTAACCTTATTTACTGAAAATGAGGATAAATAATTAAATCAATTATCAGAAATATTTATAGTGAGCAGATATTTTTAAGAGCTCTTTCCATGACACCAGTATAAAAGAATATTAAATTGTAAACTGTCTCATAATGATGCAGCATATGAATGATTCATTCTTATTTTCTTTATTAATAATTGTTATCAAATTATGAAATTAAGGTCAAGAATGGGGACTTTTGATTTATTGCCAGTCAAAGAATTAAGCATATATTGATAATTTAGCAACTATTAAGTAATGAGGTTCAATTTCTGTTACAATGTACTTTGTTACATCACTTCCTTTTAATGATACTTAATCACATGCAAATAATAGTCTTGTTTGTTGAAAAAAACTAGTTTATTAGTGATGTCTTTGTTCAATTCAAAGTGTAATGCTTGCAATAAGTAAAATTTTTGAACAGTTTGTTAGTTGAAGTTTTAGGGCTCCTTCAAAACATACTGAGAGTCAGAAGTTTTTTCATTCATATATTCTGAAAGGCACAGAGGTATAATAGTTGACATGCTGACCATCAGAAGTAGAGGTCTGGTAAGCTTCCACAGCAGTAATGTGTAACTGGAATGTTAGACAACATTGAGAATGGCTGAAGGCTACTTGTCAAGTATATAATTTACCCTCACCCCTTCCTAGTTACCCCTTACCAATACCTGACTGCAGGGTTGCAAGAACC